ATTACTAAAAGCATGAATAAGTTTTAAAGAAAGTAACTAGATTTGACCCTCCTGGGGATGTGGGTGTCAAATAATAATGATTCTTGATCTAATGATCAAGTCATTTTAATGGTATCTAATGTTATGAAGCTATTCAATTCAATCCGAAATAATACAAATATCAGAGGCATAAAAGTTTGACCATATCAGATGACTGTGGGATTATGACTAATAATAGACAAAGTACAAAATTTGATCTTTTGGACTCTGACTAACTCATACTTCTGTGTCAATAAACTAAAGAGAACTGACAAGAGATGACTTTGGTACATCTGCAACAAAGTCTTGGTCTAATTCTAGATACCAAAATTCATGAGACCATTATCTTTGGTGAAACAGAAAAACAAGGTGACTACCGCATAAAAACTGATAGCATATTTAAATATCTGAGCAATGTATTGAAATATTTTATCTATCATATATATGTAACTAATCTGCACCATTGGGAAAGAATAAGTCAGCAGGGAAATAAAATAGCATCTCTCAAAGTACATGATTGTGCTGTAGGAGTAAGACTAAGTTGTATACTCCACTTTTCCTTCTGTAGTTTGAAGGTATAATTCAATATACTTCTTGAATAATAAATGTTATTAAAATAAAATGAATAATATCAACTTGACTAAATTAGTCTTGAATAATAGGTAATGCAGAGCTTTTAAAAACATAGCACTGATATTTTCTAGGCAATGAAAATTAAACCTATCTTCTTTGATCTAAAATGATGTTTTAGAATGTCACAAATGCCTTTAAAATTGGAATATTAAAAGGGCAGCCTATGTAGAATGCCCCTTTAAATTTAGCTTTACAATACTGCTCTGCTGTGGGCCAGATACTCAGCAAAAAAACATGGTTACTGATTAACCGACATTAAGGAAGCAATTGTTTTCCAGGATGAGGACTTAGTAATGCATCAAAATTACTGGAAGAGTGAAACATCTGGGATTGAGACACACACAAAGGACCTCATCCTCTCCAATCCTACTGTATCACTCAGGTCTGCGGGAACCACATGACTTCATGGCAATTTTTTACTACCTGTACATGCCAAGTCACTAGAATTTCACTCATCTACGGCTCATTAACCACTTACTCTAGACAGAAACTTGCTTGGTGGGTGGTTGGGGAGAATGGTGCAACTTACCACCTCTTTCCTTCCTTCTTCTTCCCTTTCCCTTGGGGCATCATATTTATACTCTATTTTCTTTCTTCCCTGTGAATTTTGCTCCTCAGTTTAAATATTTCACCTTCCTCTCTCTCTGTGGATTTATATATCCTCTGTATTCACTCATTCCCTTCCTTTCTCTCCACCAAAATTGGCTCCAATTCCTTGGAAAGTTTCTCTCTCAAGACCAGGGCCAGGTTTAGAGACCTATAATGTTTGTAGTTGTGCAAGACACTTTGCTCAGAAGGCCCCTGTGTTTGGTTTAATACTCTGTGGTCACTGTCTGAAAATTCTTAATAATTTAATTTTTGGTCTAATGTTTTGTAAATGAAGCCTAAGGGAACAAGGGTGCATACACAGAAGCAGAGGAGTTATGCATAATTTCAATTTTCAATGTTCTTTGCCACTCCATTTGAAATGCCGAAGAGTGCAGAATTCCAGTGGACTCAAACAATGCACCAGAGTGCAGCAAGACTCAAAATGAATACAAGGTAAGTGTGTGAAGTCTTTGCTTAAGTAAGTTGAGTACCCAAAAAGGCTACATGTTTTGCTTGAAACAAAACTTCCGCAGAAGGAGGAAAACAGCCATGGAACCCTATCACATTCTTTACTCATCTTTTTTTGTACGAGGCAATTGTATTGAAAAAATGGTGATATAGAAGGAAAGAAATAGATAAGGCAAACCATAGTCTCTTTTCCTTTCAGGCCCCTCAACTCATCAGTAAACTCAAAGTAGTGCTGGTGGAATATGTGCACATAAAGATATGGAATAAAAACAGTCAGTTTAGTGCAGTGTTTCTACTGTTTCATAGTGGTAAGAATGAAATACACAATATACATATTCAAATATGAGCTACACAATATGAACTATAAAAATCTCAGTGATTTCCCATGAGTTCAGCACGCTTATGTTTTTGCATTTAAAACTGTCATACAATATAAAGATGAAGGGCAAAATTCATGCTAATGATTTAAAATTTTATTTTGTTCCTTTACTTAAAACATTAAATAGCAGATAAAATTACCATAACAAGTTGTGTGGGAGTGGGCCAGGGGATGGCAGGCATATCACAGAAGGAAAAGTTAATGTTTTTGCCTCTTTATCCGCACCTTTTTCCTGTTTTTATGAACTAGGGGTGCTATGTTTTCATTTTGCACAGTGCCCCACAATGATGTAGCGTTCTGCTGGAGACTTTTCAGTTGGAATTGGGTGCCTCATTTTTGCTAACCATGGCTGTGAAGCATGATATCAATGCTAGTAGAATTCCCAAATTATGGAAAGGAAAGATCAAATTGGGGGCTCTGCGAAAACTCCTTGAATTTTTTTCTGTGCATTTTAAAGAACTTTTAAGTAAAATTTATTCTTTTTTAAATGCAAATAAACAAAATGATTTTTAAAAATTCTGTTTCTTCTTTAACGGTATTGCTTTATTTATCACAAGGATTACAACATTATTTTCTTCTACTGGTCTCCACTGAAAATACATAGTATTTCTGCTGTTCTTTGAGTTACATAGATTTTGGTAAACATATGAACCACAACAGTCATATGTTTTCTGAGCTAAGCATTAGTCTTTGGAGGAAATGTGTTTTTAGTGCTGAACAACTGAGTGGCTAGTTTTCTTCCACAGCTTGTCAATCAAGAGCTGATTTTAGTTTACATTCTCTTACAGTTGAAATATGAAGTTCAAGATGCTGAATGTACTTCATGACTGAAAAATTTGTTAATGTTTACTTAGCCAGTTTTGAGAGCCTGGTACTCAATTTCCTTTGATTGGTCCTGCAATTTGGTCAGGAAATGGTAGGACCAATGGGTAGCAGATGGAAAGGAGAAAGGTTCAAAGTATTCACCAAGATTCAGACATTTCCTGCTCACATTCTTGCTTCTGTGATTACTACAAGGAATATTTAATATGATTTTATGTCATTTTTAGTCATTCATCTCCTAGAGACCTCCAAAGATAGATGTTTTCTATGAAATTATCCTATGTGAGTACAAAAAAGTTGCAAATGCTACCTTTATTCACCTTCAATTACCAAGAAGGGTTAAGAGATTTTATTTTAAAAAGTGAAAGGAAATGAGAAAAATGAAAATCATTTCCTCTGGTCACATGTAGTAATTATTCTTCTTTGTGTAAAATTCATTTTTTCCTGCTTCATCTTAGAGTATAAAATATTTTCAGATGACATCATCCTGATTTGAGACTGCCAATGGTAGCAATAAGTAATTATTTGAATTTTTAGGTAACAAACCCAATATGAACTGGCTTTCCTGTCTGGAGCTATATTCTGGGTATACTTTTTTTCCTTTTAACTACAGTTTATTCTAAGTCGTCCTACCATGTAAAGATGGAGGGAATATTTTCTGTAATTTAAATGATCAATTTTGGTAAACACAACATTAGATTTTAAAAAACAGCCATTTTAAACTTTGTATCAGTAAGCCTTCATTAAGCAAGATGACTTTTTAAAACATTTTGATTCTAGAACATAATTTGTTTTTATAACCAAATCAAGGGGCTATTACATATTGTAAATTAAAAAGGGACAGCTAGCTATCAGTTCTTTAATTGACTCTTTAGTGATAATTGTCCCTGATGCAATCTTTTTAATTCGGTTGCTTTTTGAGAGCGGTGGTTTATTTCATTCTTATGAAGACGTTTTTCTTTCAAAACACTACTGGACTAAGCTTATCTCCCCAGTTAGTAACTCTTAAGAACTGTTTTCATATATACAGCTTTAAAAGCAGCTTTAAAAGCAGAGATTTAAGCCACCGTTATAGTCAATGTTAATACCGTACTGGGAAACTGACTATGAGGAAACACTAAATGATCTGAGATTATATAGTCAGAAATCTCAAGCAGATTATTCCCCTGTCCTGCAGCAGCAACAAAACCGCAAACACCCAGTAGGTTTTCGACATCTACTCTTTACCAGATTTTTTTTTCTCTTTCAATCCCCTTATCTTGTAAAGATTTTTTCAAAAACATTGTTTCATTGTATACCCACAATAATCCTATACGATAAAACGAAATTCCAAGGTTAACCTCAATTCTAGCACGACACCGCCTCATCAATAAGCTTTAAACCCCCCAAACCCGCACATTGCCATATGTAAGCTGTATGTTATGTCAGTACCCTTTGTGTAAGTTAAGTAAGATCTACGTGGAAAGCTTAGGTGTCCTTCGGTCCTTTTAACAATTAAGTCTTGGCTCTTTGTAGAAGCGCAACAAACGCGTACAGGGAACTCTCGAGGGGTCCTAAGAGACCCCACGCCTTTCCCTGACAGTTCTGATTTGAGCAGGACTCCTCCTCCAAGGAACTCTCCGGGTTTTCTCTACAGAGGTTGACCCGGCACAGATTGGTTACTTTTGTGGGTCTCAGATTACTTGTGTGTAAACTGAAAAACTTGGACAAAGTTTTCTCTTTCTTTCCCTGAAGTGTCTCTGGAGGTGAGAGGAAGCACAAGGCTGAATCAGGCAAGATAAATGACCCACGCTCTCGTGCGTGGTCCAGGAGAAGTAGTCCTAATCGGTTAAACTTGGGGGCCAACAGGCTGAAAACAGTGTGCGGTGAGCCGGGAGCACAGAGGCTAGGAACTTGGGCTACAGACCGGAAGTCTAGGCGGCAGCAGCAGTCACGCCCCTTCCGTGAGCCCCTTTCGTAATCCCCGCCAGCGCCTGGAGCTGGGTTCACACCACGCCCCCCGCCGCTCGCTTTGCGGCAGCGAACTACATTTCCCAGAATGCCATTCAATCGTCTTCGCAGGGCGCCGATAAGCGCCAGATGACGCCATCAGCCGGCGCGGTGTTTAGACTCCACTGATGTCGTGGCGCTTTGGGGAAAGAAGTTGGTGTTGGCAGGGCCCTGCTACTGAAGACGCTGTCCCGGTGACCCCTACCTCTTTCCTGCCACCCTCCCCCGCTCGCCTTTTCCTCTTTCCTCTGTCAGGATGAGGCGTGCAGGCCTGGGTAAGAAGAGGGCTGAGGTTCGAAGTTCGGGGCCCTAGAACCCGTCTTGCTGGGCGCGGGTGCGCGGGAGGAAATCGGACTGGACTTCTGTCCCTGGCATCTGGGCCAAAAAAGCGGGATGTCTGGAGGGGTCTTTGGAGCCGGTGCCAAGTGGAAATACACCATTTGTTCCAGTTCATAAGACTTTCCTTAAGTTTGATCCAGACTGAAGTTTGGGTACTCGATAGAGTAGTGGATGGCTGGGGAGCGGAGTATGTACAAGGACCCACTCAGTAATTAAATCTTAGTGTTAGTGACTGAGCATGGTTGTGAAAACTACTGTGTTCTCCAAAGCCCAGCTAAGGTTTCTCTTTCTCTGCTGGCCCTGGACTTTAGTTTTTTTAGAAGTGAAGTTTGAATAGTAGGTGTTGCACCTGAGGCTAACTAATAATGATCTCGCTAGTCTGGTAACAGTGAGTTACAAAGGTAAATATACGTGTCATTTCTGTTAAAGGCCTTGGTGTGTAACATCGGGGTCAAAGGCAGTTTTACCCAGAACATTTATGTGAACCTTGTCCTACTGTTAAGACCGTAGAACGGCTCGGCGCCTATAGCTCAACCGGCTAAGGCGCCAGCCACATACACCTAAGGTGGTGGGTTCGAATCCCCAGCCCGGACCCGCCAAACAACAATGACGGCTGCAACCAAAAAATAGCCGGGCGTTGTGGCGGGCGCCTGTGGTCCCAGCTACCTGGGAGGCGGAGGCAGGAGACTCGCTTGAGCCCAGGAGTTGGAGGTTGCTGTGAGCTGTAATGCCACGGCACTCTACCCAGGGGGACAGCTTGAGGCTCTGTCTCAAAAAAAAAAAAAGACCGTAGAACGTGGTAAGATTTGGTGACTTAACATTTGTTCTTGATCTTGTGTGTTGGGAAGTCAGCTTGTCAAGCAGCAGAAATAAGTTAGGCCCCAGAAATTTTAATGGGCACTATAATAACGCATAGCTATTAGAACAGCATTTCCTAGTTCTGAGAGAATATATGAAAAAGGGGAATGTTATCTTTCAAAGTCACTGTAATAAGACGGAAAAAGGAAACAGAATTTTCAAAAGTGTCAGATATTCAGTGAAGGTTGCCAGGAACTATAAACTTGTATATTGATTAATAAGGTGTGGTATGAAAAAGATTTTTTTTTTTTTGTAATGAAGGTTTTATGTATAGAAAGTGGGCCTGGTAAATTGGAGAGAAAAAAATAATTTTGATTTTATATGCATAAACTTTTTTTGGTCATCATTAAGGACAGCAAACATTAATTGTATGCTTGGGTAGACTCTAAGTATACAGCATTTGTTACCTAGTTTGTGCTCTCAAGCTTCTAGTTTAGCTGGAGAGTAGGAATACGTGCAAATTATTTATCAGGGTGATAGCTATAAATTCAAATATCAGTTAAGTACTACAGATAGTGAATGTCTCAGGGATGGATTACTGTGTAGTGTACTTTGAAGAGACATAGGAACTTAAGACACTGAATTTTGGAGGGAGGGAGAGGTAAGTTCCAGGTAGAATGATGGCCAAAAAAAATATGAAAAGGTGTAGAATTAGAATTACATATTTAAGAGATTATGATTAAGCCATTTTGGTTGAAGTAGGGGACATGGGACCACATTGTGGAGATCTTTGCATGCCAGGCCAAGCATTTTGGATTTCTTAAATAGGCATTTAGGTTCTTCTGAATATTTGTTCTACTGCAGTGTGCCATGTTAGAATTGGAGAAAAGGGACTTGAAAAGTGGCCTTGACTTGCACATTAAGGTCACCTGAGAAATGTTTAAAGTATTGTTACCTGGACCCCAGCTCAGACCAGTTAAATTAGAATCTCAAAGGTAGAGGCCTTCTTTTTTTTTTTTCCCCTAAGTTCCCCTGTGGTTGAGAGGGGAATACATAACTATTGTTATAGATTACATTGGTGTGAGTTGAGGGCTTTTTGTAAATTTAATCTTGCTTTTCCTTTGTTAAAGTATTAATGTGTGTAGACCTGGAATTTTAAATTTGGGATAATAGTGAATATAAGTGATAATCTATATGCAGAAGCTGCCACGCTTCACATGAATTGCTAAGTGATTTTGTTAGGTTATTGACAGATCCTTCCCTCAAAGAAGTAGCATTTGTCTAAATTAATAAAGGCTGAGGATGATCTTCAGTACTTGCTAGCTTTTCTACAACTTTGCATAGCGGTAATCCACATGAAAAAAGTGGCCACATTTGGAATAGCAATTCTAGCATTTAATTTGATTTTTTTCATTATATCTGGGATGGAAAATCAACTCTTTAATAGAAGAAATATGCGTTGAAAGATTTGGGGGTAATAAAAAAAATGAAAATTTCAGTTTTAGTAAATGGAACAGTCTGGAAGAACTCTAAATTTAAGGGAGGCAAAAGAAGATAGCCAAACAAAGTGAAAACAAAGAGTAAGGAAAATAACTATTAATTTAGAATGGTGATAAAGTCATTACTAAATTCAATCAGTTCAGTGATTATTTATTGGGTAAATGTTATATACTCAGAATTTAGTCACGTAAGAAAATATTGTCCTTTTCTTTTTTTTTTGGCCAGGGCTGGGTTTGAACCTGCCACCTCAGGTATATGGGGCCGCACCCTACTCCTTTGAGCTACAGGCACCACCCCATACTGTCCTTTTTTAAAAGAATCGTGGTCCTTGTTAGAGCTCGCACGGAGTCTCATTGATTAATAGGGTGAGAATGTATTATTTTAATATGGTGATTTTTAATTGTTGAGTGGGAGCAAAAATATTACTCCCAGGACAAGAGTTCTTAACTTTCATACTAACACATTTGGAAGGCTTCATGAATAGTATGTCAGCTGTTGAGGGAAAATTTGGATAGTACAATTCGCTTGCCACTTTTGGCAAGCAATCTGAACCTTTGGGGCTCTACATTCCTCCACAGCCCCAATACTATAAACCTCCAACTCTAGACCAGTCCAACCATCTGGCTTGTCATGGGCTAACTCTGGCTGATGAGCCCTTTTCTAGAAAAAAAAAAAAAATCACATATCTGGGAGGATTGAAGCATTATAATATATTGCCTCAAGCAGGCTTGTCTTATCCTCCTAGTAATCTCATGCAGTCCTTGTCACTTTTCATTATTCACCTTACTGTTTATTCCAAATGATCACCCATTCTTCAGCAGATAGCTGTTTTTCTTCCTTACTGAGAAAACTGATGGCAATGATTATGTTAAAAAGAAAAAAAGTGTGGTTAATGAATACTCTGATTTATGCTTTCTTCTCTCAATCCTGTAACACTTTTACATATGCTTTCATTGTCTAGTGCTCACTCCACCTGTTTGGTTACTCGGTAAATATCAATACTGTATTAGGCAGGATGGTGGGGACTGTGTTCTCAGTGTCATCCCCTAGAGCGCCATGAAGGTAGTACTTAGAACAATGGACACATGGTAGTTCCTCACATACATGCTGAAGAATGAATAAATCCACCTTTTCAGCCTACATTCTGCATAAGTTATTCCACCTCTGTCCTAGAGCTTCTATTTGCCACCCCCATCCCCCATGCTTGTCTCCATTCAGCTCTATTTAAGAGAAAGAGATGCTAGTAAGAGACCCTCCCTCTGCCATGAACTCTTTCTTATACCACTATATTAACTGTTTTCTCCCTTTCTCTTCATAGTGACACTTCAGTGGGTAGTTGATATCACTGCATTTTAATCCTTTATTAAAATACATGTTTCTCTTTGAGAAGGGAATGTATCTTGAATAGCCTTATGTGTCAGGGCCTAGTTTAGTGTCTTTTGGGCAATCAATAAACAATCAAAAAATGTGTAGTGAAATGAATTGAATATACTTAAGAGAGGATAATGGAAAGAATTGGTCTGATCTCGGGTTCTTTTAAAAATTCATTTAGAATATGAATATTTTATACATACATGGTCTGCAACGCCCTCCGGGGGTCTTTTTTGGTTCTTTTCTAACTGTCAAGGTTTCAAAAATGGCTTCTGTTTTTGCTGTCACCTCACTTGTGACTCTGACCCTTGCAGGTGAAGGAGTACCCCCTGGCAACTATGGGAACTATGGCTACGTGAATAGTGGGTATAGTGCCTGTGAAGAAGAAAATGAGAGACTCACTGAAAGTCTGAGGAGCAAAGTAACTGCTATCAAATCTGTAAGTTCTGATAGACATTATATGTGTTTTAATTTATATGTTTGTATATAATCTACTTTAAAACTGTATACTTCTATTGGTGTCATACTAAGGAATTCAGTTACCCAAATACTATGATTTGGGGAGGGCAACTTGTGCTTATATTTAGACCATGGTTTGAGTAGATTAGAAAATGTGGCAAATCAAAAGATACGGTATTTAAAAAAATTTTTTTTAAACTTCAGCTGTTGTCTGTGGTAAAATCTAAAAAATACTGTGTGTTGTCTGCTGCAATATGTGAAACAGAGAGAGCTGTTCTATTTCCATCCCTAAGTAACTCTTCTAGTGTTTTTTTATCCAGTCTCCTAAGCTACAGATCTTAGTTTCTCTTGTTTCCACCTTTGTACCTCATTGCGGTACCAAGTCTTAAGCTTTCTTTCTAACATTTCTCTCGATTTCTGCCTTTCTTTTTCTAATCCTATCCCCTGGTTTTCTTAGTTGAACTGCTGGGAGAACCTCTTTACCTGTTTCTGGTTTTTTGTATGTTCTGATCTGAGCCACATACTGTTGCCACAGTCATCTTTTTAGAGTATTTTAAAATTGCATTTTGCATACCCAGAAGTTGTTTGTGTCCTCCCATGATTTAATAAAGTTTACACTTTGTAGCTTGTTCAGATAGGTCCTTTAAAGGTTGGCCTTAGTTTTTCAGATGTTGTCTCCCACACATCCAGAATGTGCATGTGCTTTCTGCCAGACAAATGAGAGTGCCGTCTCTGCCCTGTGTGTGCTGTCATTCCCCCTCTCAGGTCTTTGAACGCTCCATTTCCTTGCCTTGAGCATTCTCTTGCTCCTTAGTGTTGACTGAGTCTTGCTCATCCCATTTTATTGCACCCCTCCCTCCTCTAAGCTTTCCCTAATTACCACATCCAAAAATAACTCTTTTCCTTATGAACATAAGACCATTGGTGCCATTTTTGTAGCCCTTATGCATAATGATTTGCATTGGCATTCTTTGTGTATAAAAGAAATTTATCAGAATATAGAGTTTTCTATTGTATTTACTTTTATATTATACTCAGCACCTAATTTAATTTTTTATCTGTAGTATTAATTTATTAAATTTGTGTTAAATAAAGGAATTATACAAAGATGATTTTTAAAAATGTATGTGATCGGTTCTGCTTTACAGTAGACATTCTGTACACTTACAAAGCACTCATTAGAAGCCCATGTTGCCAGAACTTAATTGGTATTTCATTATAGTGTTTGGAAAACTGAATTGTATACAGCCTGGAAACTATCAGATTTTAAAACAGAGTATTTTTAAAATTAAACCAAAAGAAGTTTATTTATTAACTGAATGGTTTTTTATAATGTTAATAATTTAGAAAAGATAACATTTGGAAGGACTTAAAAATTAAATGCCTTAAAAAAAACCCTTTCAATATTTATAATTTAGACTCCTTATTAGAAGAAAGCTGTGATGCCTTGGAAATTCTTTTTCTTGGTATGAATGATAGTTGTAAATAGTAGTTGGGTGATTTGGACTATTTAGCTTTATAGATACTGTATTGACTCTCATGATTTGTTAAATTTTGGAGGAAAGCTCATGTTCTGACCTATAGAATTCTAGTATAGTTTTATATCAATATTATCCCATATGCTTTTACTCAAATTAAGTTGAGAACAGTATTTGCAATGGCTTGCCAAAATTTTTAATAATTGATTATATTTATTTAAGTATCTTAGTGGTTGAGCCTTTGATGACTTTGTCCTATATAGTATTAGGTAGATTTTTTTTTTTTTTTTGGCCGGGGCTGGGTCAGTGCCCTACCCTTTTGAACCACAGATGCTGCCTGGTAGATTTTGTTTTGAATAGCAGCTGTATTTACTTGTTATATTGTTTTTTATAAACTTGGGCTCTTTTCTGCATAGCTTCAGGGTAAGGCTAACCTTATTTGTAAATTTTTCCCCATTATCATATTTTAAAGGAAAAAAATACCTTTAAAAATACATAATCTAGGCATATCTGTGAAGTAATGACACATTTCATTAGGAAGTTATAAACTTCTTATGTCTGGATTTGAATTGTCATATGGGTACTTATATGTCTCTTAAGAAATATACAGTTAAATGCTTTTGTGTAAATAAAGAGAAAAACATGTAAGAACAAGAGAACCAAGGAAAAATATTTTATATATGTACATATATACCAAAATTGAAAGATGGAATTGAATATCAAGGTGAAATTAGAGTGAAGAGCCAGGAGAAAATGTTCTTAGTTGAGAGGAATAGAAATTCTAATTTTTTAAATTAATTTCAGTTGAAAAAAATATCAGGACAGCATATTTCATATTTCTAGAAGCAGTTTCATTTGAGAAAATGTGTATGCTTAGAGTGGCATTATTTTTATTTTATAACATTGAAATGCCTTTATATGAGTAGTAATGCATATGCTTTCTTTATAGCTTTCCATTGAAATAGGCCATGAAGTTAAAAATCAAAATAAATTATTAGCTGAAATGGTGAGTAGTTATTTTAACTATAATTTGATCTAATCTTAATTTAGTTAATCGGGAATGATATCAGTTCAACATTTATTTTGAAATAGATCCTCAATTCTTAAGTCCTAGATTCCCATCCATTTATATCTAATGTGTTTGGAAAAACTATAAGGTTTATTTGTACCATACTTTTGCATTTTTCATCTTTCTAACAAACGTTAAGTCGCAGGAGCAGGTGGAAGCCAATGTGTTTTTAATGCTGGTTTTAGAAACATTGTTAAAGACTCAAATCACAATGGGTAAAGACTGCTAGTAATTTATTAACCAAGAAATCAAAAAGCACTTTATGTCAGCCAACCAAATGTCTTTCACTTAATGGAGACTTATTTCTTATGCTTAATTTCTGGACAAAGTGCTCATTGATTTGAACAGCCTGGAGCCTTTTATCTCTAACAACATATACCTTTTCTTGTCAGAGCCTCTTTTCATTCCTTAATGTTTATTTGGATGTTAAACTGTTCTGGACCTTCCCTGGTTTCTCCACATGCTTTTAAAATTGTACTGTTTAAAAAAGAATTTGTCATATTGATCTTACTAAGCTTGTGCACTGTAATCACCTAGGGAGCTCTTTTAAAATACATATACCTGGTTCTCATGTTAAGTATACGGATGCAGAATTTCATAGGAAGGGATCTAGGCAAATATAGTTTGAAAAGAACATCCCAGGTGATTCTGATAAATAATCCTGAAGAACCATAGCTCTAAAGTGCATGAGCTACACAGAGACTGAGCCCTATACAAAGGCCGTTATTGTGCCAGGCCGTTACTTCTCAGAATGGCGAGACTTTTATGAAAACATCTGATATTTCTCATCCACACCTAGTACTTTCATCTTTAAAACTTTTCTAGCTATGTTTTAATGTGGTAGTTTGTCCCCATCCTTGCTTATAGTACTTAACACATCTCTCCATCTCTATATAATATTCTCTTAACTTTCAGTAGACTTCATTGTACTTCAAAACCAGTTATCTAAATAAAAGGTTCTTAATAGTAAAGGTACGTTTATCTGCTAACCATATTAAGTTGTAGCGGAATTCCTCTACTGAGGATCCATTTGACCTTGAAATGCAATGCCACAACAAAAAGTAGGGGAAAAACCGTGTGATAGTATACCAACTCCTGACCTTTATTATTGATGTTTTGTCATACATATAACTAGAATAATACCTTAATAGTTTTGAGTTTTTTAATTACTCTGTGGGGCTGAATGAAATGCTTGTTAGATAATGAAAGACCTTTTTATTCATGAGAGAATTATTTTATTTTGCATGGAGTAATCATGCTAAACAGGCTTCTGAAGTGATTACACACAAAAATTGTCATTAAAAATGTACTCTAACAACAGTCACTCAATTACCTAAATGTGCACATTGTAGAATATTGCAATCTACATTTCATTTTCCTTTTCCGCTCATAGGATTCCCAATTTGATTCTACAACTGGATTTCTAGGGAAAACTATGGGAAAACTGAAGATTTTATCCGGAGGGAGCCAAACAAAGCTGCTGTGCTATATGATGCTGTTTTCATTATTTGTCTTTTTTGTCATTTATTGGATTATTAAACTGAGGTGATGCAAGTAAGTTTGATTTTGGAATTTGTTCCATCTTAATGGCTTGGGGTACCATTTTGATAAGAATCAGCAGTAAGACATTCCTAATTTTCAAATACCATGGCCTTTTCCATCAAAGATTACTGAATTTTGCCTGTTTTATAAATCACATTAGAGAATACAGTGCTCTTTGAATATTGTTTGCTGTTGACTCATTTTGGCCCCTATTTTCAGGGGTATTGAGATAGTGTGGCGCTACCATTTTTTTTCCTGTTGTTTGCTGACTGTCAGAATAGATAGCATCATAATATTCTGTTTCTACATAAGTAGGACTTTGTGTTCCATGTAAGAAAAGTTAGTGGGAGAGTAACAGAATGCCTGGAGAGCATTGGTAATTAAATTTTTGTAAACTGTGATGATGTACTCCCCTGTCCTCCTTTATTTAATTAAAATTACAGGCTTTTTTTTTAAACTACAGTCTTCCTAATAATTTGTGATAATATGACCCTTCTTCTTCCTCTGCCCGAAGACTTCATTCTTTAAATAAAGCTTATTATTTCAGCGCATTTCTACTAGGGTCCGATGCACATGCGTATTAGTATAGTTGTTGTTTCATATCAACTTTGTAAATTCCATTGACTTGTCTTATACCAGGCTTATGATTTTTGATACTTAGGCCATTTGATTATCATTTGTGACTGAATAATGTGAAGTTAAGTAATTGCTAAGCTCTGAATGGAAATAAAATGTTCAAGAAAATTAATTGCCTCTGCTTTATTATATGTTCACAATAGATATTGGAAATACTCAGGCATTGAACTTGGAGTTAGTCTTTTTGCTTTAATCCAGTGTATCTGTTTTTGGAATGAAAAAGATAATATGTTTTATATTGAGTAAAAACATATTAAAATATTGTTAAATTCTCTGTATTGCCACTATTTTGGAATTTACCTATGTATAGGCTCCAAAAATAAATTTGTAAATAAAATATATTAGTGGACTGTGTTGCTTCTTTAAGTCTCTTACATTCTTGACATAGAGTCAGAGAAATAGACCTGAAAACCCCAATTCCAACCCAAATCAAGAAAAATCAACATTTATGTTACGTCAGAACTTGCTTAAAACTGCAATTTCAAAAGTCTCTTTGATTTTTTAATTTTTAGTTAAGAATCTGACCTCACTGATTTTGTTCAGATTCTGAGGTTTCAGTCCTTTTCACTTATTCCTAATTACCTGTCGATCAGGTCCTATCTTTTCTGGCTGCATTTGTCACTTATGCCTCTACATAAGGTTTGAAAGGTTAAAAACACCAGAGCTGAGTGCCCTGAAGTATGGTAGGCAGGCCTGAGGCCAGGTGGGAGAGGCACTTGTTTGAGTTAGATGGCCTGGGTTCAAATCTCTTTTCTTTCACTTGCTCAGTGCTTTTGACCTTGGTTTCTTCATGACATTGCCTATTTCATACGATTGTTGTGAGAAGTAGATGATGTATAGGAAAGTGCCTGGCACATGGTAATCATTCATTAAATGTTCATTCTTGCTATCAAGAAAAATTGTCAGAAAGGGGAGTTATTTTTAAATAATAGGTTGGTTTCAGACTTTGAGGTGATGATGTCACCTCCAAGTGGGTATTTCATAATTTATCAGGCAATAGGAGAGTAAGTCATTCATTCAACAAATTTTTAACTGTACTCTGTGCCAATTATGTGACACCAGAGTTTGAGAGACTTAAAAGTCATAAAAATGGGAAAAGCAGAAGACCAAAGAAAATGAGGATGAAAGCAGAGGAGAATACACGGTGGGAAACAGAAGCTACCAAGGCCTTGGGAAAACCAGTGATGGCAGGAGCAGGATGGATTTCAGTAATCGGTATTTCTGTGGTATCAGTACTCCCCCTACACTTGATTTCAGGGTTGATTGGCTGTTTTATGAAAGCATTTTGTGAAGTATTAAAGCACTTTAACAGTGGATGGTATAATCAAAAAGGTGAAGATTGTGGGAAAAAGGGTTTGGGATGATACCGAAATGTTTCTCATCACTGCATGGGTCAACATTTCTTTATGATTTTTTTTTTTTCTTTTAAGAACTGCCTAAAGTAGGTCTTTCCTTGGCATTTCATATCCCTCCTTGACGCCACTGTATTCCCTGGCAGACAAGGAGCTCTTCTCCAAGCACTGGCCTGGCCTTGCCCCACCAGGGGATCCCTCTGCCAGCACCCTCCTCCTCCTAAATCTAAGACAAATATGCAACACGTTAAGCCTCAGAATTCTGTAGCAGAGAACCCTAGGACCCGCACCCATAAGAAGCTTCTGTTTCTGTAAAATAAACTAGTGTTCCTAATTTTCCAATACTCTAAATGTTGAATTTACTTTGAGACGAAGTAAAAAAGTGCTTGATCTCATTCAGTCAGTGACGGATGTCATCAGGCTGTACTGATAAATAAACCTTGGCTAAATATTTACTGAGAAGCAGAAGGCATCATGGCTGACTGAAGGCTGTGATGTCACACTGTCTGAGCAGAAATCCTGGCTCCATCACTCACCGTACGACTTGGGCTGATGACTTGTCAGTTACCCTATTTGTAAAACAGGAACAATTGTATGAAAAGACACTCAGGCTGATAGTGGTCATTAAATAAAATATTGCCTATAAATGAATGGATTCCTGGTACTCAATAGGGGATATTAAATATTCTATTCCTTTACCTTTCTTATATTATTTTTTTACTTTATTCTATTTTGAAACTTACTGACTACGGTGTGAGGTAAGGGGCTCATTTGATTTTAATTTCCAAAATGCCCACCAGTTATTCTCACAGTAAATATTGAAATGTACTTTCCCTTGCTTTTTTTGATGCTCTTGTACATAAGGTCTTTTTCTGGTAAACATTTTGTTTTGTCCATTTTTTATCCTTGTTCCAAAACTGCACTATTTTAATTATTGGCGTTTCATAGTGTTTTGATAGCTAACAAATATTTTAATCCATTCTTTCTGATGAACTTCAGCATACTTTGAATCTGTATCTATATATATAGAGTTAGATTAGTTTTATTTTTTTGAGACAGAGTCTTACTCTGTTGCCCTAGGTAGAGTGTTGTGTTGTTACAGCTCACATCAACTTCAAACCACTGGGCTCAAGTGATCCTCTTGCTTTAGCCTTCCAAGTAGCTGGGACCACAGGCGCCTGCCATGATGCTCAGCTAGTTTCTTCTGTTTTTAGTAGAGACAGGGTTTTACTCTTGCTCAGGCTGATCTTGAACTTCTGAGCTCAGGCAATCCACCCTACCTCAGCCTCCCAGACTCCTAGGGATTAGAGATGTGAGCCACTGTACTAGGCCAACATTTTAATAATAATGGTGGTTTTTTTTTTTTTTACAAGAATCACATTAATCTATTATAATCTATTTTGAAAAAAAATCTCTAAAACATTTCCATAATCACAATGTTGGATTTCGACTCCAAGCAAATTTCTTATTTCCTTTCACTATAGGTCTATGTAATTGTATGGTGGTAAGCTAGCTCTTGCAGGAGGTGGAGGGGTGGAGAGAAGCACTAATTAGTAATCAGTATTTCTGTGGTATAAATACTCCCACTACACTTGATTTCACGTACCACTGTCACATCCTAGAACATAAGAGTTGTGAAAATACTTGTACAATCGGCCCTTGTGAGCTGATAGGAGCTAGCTGCAATGTGCTGTGGCTGTGCTGATGACAAATGTTCTTTTCAGATATTTAGAAGTTATTTTCTTTCCAAATGAGAATCTGTCACTTAAATTTTAATGGAAAAACCTCAAGTGACACTAATTTAAACTGATAAATTACCTTGAGAATAATGCTTTTCAAAGGCAATGCCTAGTTAGAAGATTATTTGTACATTTTGTGTATGTCAGTTTTTTCTCATTTGTGTAAATAAATTCTTTCTACATTTATTGACCTTCAAATAGAGTGTAAGAATCATATATGAAAAAGATAGGTGGTTAGATTATTCTGTTTTTTTTAATGCTTTTCCCTCCAGTTTACTGTTCTAGCAAGAGACCTGGGATAATTCTGTACATTTCATACAGATTTGCTCTCTTTCAAGAAATTCAACTACTCCATGCTTTTAGGAGAATTTTTCTTAAGCAGTTTTGGAACAACTGGGTTCAAGACCTCAGCTTGAGTAGATGGGACTACATGTGGGTAATTTTTTTTTTTTTAGAGATGGGGTCTTGCTATGTTGTCCAGGCTGGTCTCAAACTCCTGGGCTCCAATGGTCCTCCTGCCTTGGCCTGCTATTAAATCTTATGGTAATCTTTCCTTAATATTCAAAATGAACAGAAAAAAAATACACAAAATATTTTTGACAGAAAAAATCAAGCATATACTAGATGTGAGACTCTGAAATTTATGTATGCTTAATCATTTATAACTTTAGTAGCTAAAGAATAATGCAAAAAATAACCACATTACCCTTTGTAAATGTAAATATTCTTCAAAGCCTTTATGACACTTAAAAACTAATGTTTAATGTTTTCTTTTAACTAAGTTAACTGCTCACCTCCTTATGGGTCTGTATTATATAAAAAGTTTTTTTCCTACTATACTTTCACAAAAATTTGCAATCATAGCCTGATTCATGTGAAAGCAGAGAGATGAATCTGACTTTATTAGTATTTATGGCTCCTCTAGCACCCACAGTGAATTTAGAAATTACCAGAAACCAGAAACAACTAAACACATAGCATAAAAATGTCTCTATAAAAGAGATATTAATATATAATGAAAAACTTTGTCAGGTCATCAATTTCCATTTTAGAAGAATACAATTATTTCTTTCTCCTGAACTTTCTCTCATGAATGAATAAATAGTCCTACCAGTAGGTAATTTATTAAGCTTTCCTGCATTATTTAATACTCCATTTGCCTTAAAACACAAACTCTTTTACTTGCAGGGAAACTGGAGTGTGAGTTTTATATGAGGTAACCTGTGTTTCAGAAACGTTAATGGACTTTAGTCTGCCTATAGATATGAATACTTAGTTTCTTTTAAAAGTCTACTTCTAACATTTTAATTCCACATTAATATATGTTTATATACATTTAACTTATTTAAAC